AAAAAAAAAAAAAAAAAAAGTCAAAAACATAAATCGACATTTAACTCCAAACATCACAATACAAAAAATCAACCCACTTTCACTCAAAGAACTTGGCTCATAGAGCTCAGCAGCCTCTATGACATCCGAGCTGGTGAGGTACATGATATTTACAATGTCACCTCCCTCCCTCACCAACTTCCCCACCTTTTCCTCCTCATCACTATTCAAACTGTACTTATTCTGGTTGGCTTTCTTAGCCTTCCAGGACGACAAAAATTCTACCTCGGCATCCCTCCTTTCCCACTCAGTGTCATCAACAAACAAAAATTTTTCCTTCCATCCCTTAATGGATGAAGGACCCGCTGTAAATAGATTCTTATTCTCCTTATTTGACACTCTAGGGGTAAAATAATACCACCCCTTCTCCTTCCTACTTCCCCCCTTAAGAACAAAAAAATATTTGAATATATTTACAGTTGGCACACTAACCCCCTTAGCTCGGCAATAAACTAAAAACCCTATTATTACCCTCATAGCATTGGGGGCTAGTTGTGTCAACCCTATACTATAGTCTAACAACCCCACCAACAGTTCAGGAATTGGAAACCAAAGCCCCACTGCCAAATAATCGGCATACATAGGCATCCAATGATCCAGGGGTGCAAAGCATGCCTTCTCCTCCACCTCAACAGGCCTAATTAGAACTCGAGAAGAAAGTTCGTAAGTCTCCACCAAATAACCCCAGCTATCCCTAATCTGGAGTTCAGACTTATACTTCCTAACCTCAGACACGATATCTGCCTCAAAATCATAACACCTTTCATTTCTACCTCCCACTTCTAATACAGTTACAAAGACCCCCTCCCCCTCAACCCCAGCCATCTCATTTCCTCCTACCCCTTCCTTCGTCCTCTCTGAGTCAGATGACTCATTGGTCATCTTAATGTCACCATACTCTAAAGCCCTTACTTCCTCACTTCCCCCAACGTTCATCGTTTCCTCAGAAGAAATCTTTTCAGTTTCATTATTTTCACTACACGGAGTAAGGGGGGAATGAAGTTAGGTTATTAGATCTAAAGCTAACCTTATTCAAAGGACTTAAATCTAAATCAGAAAGGGTGAGAGGAGAATAAAACTTGTCACTAAAATCTAAATCATTAAAATTTAAATGTTACCTG